TTATGTAACTTAAGTAAGTCTAATAAAAAGATTAGAGTAGGGGAAAGAGGAGATTATCAAACTCCTCCTTTCTTTCTCCTTTCTTCTCCATTTTTCTTTCTTCTTCTTGCTGTCTTCCTCTTCTTCCTTCCTTCTTTCTGCTCTAACCTAAATATTTCTGCTAATTTTATTGGTCTGGATCACATCTCACCTTCTTTTAGCCCCCAATACTTAACCGGTTAGAAAATATCTCTCCTGGCTCAGATAGATCAGACTTCTGCGTTGTTGAAGAAAGAAAAAAAGCAACACGTGATACAAAGTAATATAATGAATGATGAATAAATAATCCATATCATCCTCATGATTATTGCACATTAAACATTTTCTTAACATTTGAAAACCCTTTGGTTTTAGATAATTCAATGTTAAGATACTTTCCAAAGACAATGGCCACATAAAAGATTACACTTGGAGGAATTGGGTTTCCTGAAATCCACTATAGAAGAACTCTCCACTTGATTTCTTGTCATAGCTTCATAAAATGAATTAACAGAACTTATCATCCACACCTCCCACCATCTTGCATTCAGTTCATCTATATCCAATTTCATAGCTTCTAGCTTTGAGAACAAGCACACTCCAATTTCCTATCCAACAGAGGACCTTCGAATAGCACAGAATCTGCACATCTCTCTTATCAATACACTGACTTGCCGTTACATTATTTTAAGTGAACCTATAAAGTATTTGACAAATTTCACGAAGTTTTCCTTCCCCACACCATTCAACTCCCCCAACAACCATCACCTCCTCCACAAAGCATCCCTTTCCTTACCAAAAATGCATATCAATTTACCCAACAATGCCTTGTTGATCTCCAACCCCCATGTAACTTAATCTTTTTTTTTTGTCTTTTACTCCTCTCCCATAAAATAAATAAATAAATAAATCCAACTGAATCTTTTTCAACCTGTCTGCTACCCTTTCCAGCACCCTTAAAATGATAAAAAGTAAACCAGAACATTAGCAAGAACACCTTTCATGAGTTATTATACCACCCAATGACAAATATCCAACCTCTCCACTATCAGCTTCCACATAGAACTCGATGAAGCTTTGAACCAATTGGGATCCCTAAGTAGGTAAAAGGAAAGCTGCTAACTTGTCACCCCAATGCACCATCGCACTCTTATTCAAAATTATTTTTTAGCCTAATACACCTTGATTTTCAGGATAGGTTCTATAAGAGTAGTATTGTCTCTTCATTGAATTTTCCCCTATTGTGAAATCAAAATTGATGATATTGTAAAACCATTTAAGCCTGATGCTTTATTTTTTATCAATTGAAAAGACCTCTTTTTAATTTCATTTCTTTAAAGGGCATTTCCAACCACAGAGCTTATCTCTAACTAATTTGGCACCACTCAAGATCATAACACTGTTTGGGCAGCATCCATGATACATGGAGGTTTTTTAAGTGCTCCATAAAGATATTTACAATCTCATTCATATTTCATTCACAACATCATTCACCTCCACCTATGAGATAGCATTTTTTCCTTCTACAATTCACCAGATTGTAAAAGAATTTTGAATTCCCATCTCCCTCCTGTTTGCATTTCAATTTCTGCCTACAACGATCTACGGAAGGCTTACTGCAGAAACCCAGGACCTGGTGCGCCCCAAAGAAGATTCTAGCTTGACCCCAACCCTAGCAAGAGAACCAGCAAGACTATTTGCTAAACTGGGACCCAGCTAAATGAGCTATTCAATCGTAGTTCTAATGCTTTTGCTTCTTTTATTTGGTGCCCATGATTCCATGGGCCATCTAAACTAGCAGACAGCCATCCTATTACAACCTGGAAGTCTCCTTACAATAATCAAGTCAACATCAACCCAATGAATGAACCAACTCTAAGTCCTTAAAGCACATTTCCACCTTGAAACAGTGTTGTAAGGACCCTCCTATGTGGATAAAGCTTCAATGTTGAGCACGCATCAGATTCTAACACTCCATGGATTCTAGAGGAACACTTTACATAACATTTTCCTCTAATTGTGTGTTTATTCAACATAAATGAACCACTAATGTACCCAAATTGAATGCTATTTTTACTACAAAACTGTTTTTTTTTTATATCTTCTGATTTCTGAAGGGCTACACAATGGGGGGTAGCCCATCCCCCAATCCATAGCCCCCCCAACCCAGGTGCAGGTGGGATTCGATCCCAAGTCTCCAGTACGACCAGCAGGAGACCTTACCAACCAGCTGGTTGGCACCTTGCATTTTTCCTATAAAACATTATCAACTGCAAATATAAACTTCCAGATCTTTTCCATAAGCATATAATGTTAGAACTCAAAAAAAAAAAAAGATTATTTTAATAGTTTATACTTTTCTGAAAACATGCCTGTAAGTCCTTTTTTTCACCTTGCCAAGCCAAACTCCCAGATATGTGTTGGATTCTGCTTCCCATGTCTGTGTCTATTCCCTTGTCCATGCAACACTGTCTTGAGAGAATTTCCAATCCTGATAGGACCAGAATGACTTTTCCCATGAGATCTCTGAAAATACCCCCAATATGAGCTAGGGTTGTCTAGTATTTCCATCAAAGTTTAACCTTTCAAAGTTCCAGTGCCCTCCAAAGTCCAAACTTGCTCCACCTGCCCTTTTTATGGAGCATAACCAACTACAGCTTGGAAAACCTGTACATACCTAGCAGACCAGTGTTGGACACAAGTAACCAATGCAACACTGGATACTCTAGGGACACTTCAGACACACTCTATTGCATTAACACTTTTACAATGTCTAAATTGTAAAATAGCATGTTTGAGAAAATTGTACTAAAATAAAAATCTGTATTTGTTGGAAAATTAAATCTGGCAAGAAATAAGTCTTGAGAAATGATATTTAGCTTTAAAAACTAGATACAAAAGCATGACATAAGCTTGGAAATTGGAACTTCAGAGAGTTACCATTTAACAACATTCAAATGTGCAATATTTCTCCACACTCCTTGTAGTCAAAACAGCTAAATATTTCTATTTTCTCAACACACACCAACCAACAACAACAATAATAATACAAGAATGACAGAAATTTATCCGAATGCATACTCACCTATGGTGACCAATTTCACAAGAAAATGACAATTCCTCACAGATAAAAGGTGCAGAGGCCCTTTCTGACATGATCAAGGATGCTTCTATAGAAGAAATAGATCCTCCTTGGTCAAAATCGGATGATTGATCATAGCTAAGCTGTGGTTCACCCATGTACACAAGCAAGGGTAGAATGTGCAGCTTGACACACAGGGTTGGTTTCGTCGGTTCACCATCTTTAGACATTTCCAGTTTCAGTTTTTTAACTTCAGTAGCAGCTTTTGGTGTCTGCAATGTTCCAATGGATAATTACAAGATATGGTCACTGTCATGCCTCTAAGAGTGGATGATAAAGAGGCAAGGCATCCAATTAAATCAAACCTCATAAATCTACATTTGTAGGAAAGTAAATAGATACAACTTCAAAACTGGATGTCAATTAAAATCTTACCCATTGCAGTAAAATTGACTTCATATTGGACCATCATTTTAGCAGAACAGTGATCATATACCTTGGCAAGTTACATTCTAAAGTCCACCAATGATGTTATATACATAGTACATCTGATCAAGGAGGCAAGACCATTCACTTCAAGAGTGAACATCTCATTCAGGTGGATCCCAAGGTCCACCAACTTTTGGGCACATGGTTTGGCCAGGGTAAGGGAGATGATGGCTGCTTTGCTGGGTGCCGATATTCTGGGCCTAGATTCGATAAGGGTACAAACATAGGCATGGGCATGGAAAGCAAGTATACGACTCCATTTCTGATCCAGGAGACAGGTACAGGTAGCCATTTAATATGGTGATATCATGAATTTATACACATTACTTCTGAATACTTTCATTTTTTCTAATCTAATTCAATTAAACTCCCAACAACTAC